GCCGGATGCGCTGGCCTTGGTGGGGGAATATATTTTGATTTGTGCGCCCATCCAGCGTGATCTGCTCCCCCTGATAAGCGCAGCTAAATTAAGAGACAGCCTGGCCATTTGGAAGGGGTGAGGTTCGCTTTTCTCCCGAGTTAATAGACCATGGCCAAGTACAATTTATGGCCGAATAAGTGGGGAAGTCGGTGGCCTCGGTGCGTGGACTGTTTTTCTAATGCTGTGGCGATGATTTAGCAATTGTCTGAATTTCAATGAAAAATACGTACATTTAATTCGGATCTATCAAATATATTAATAAATCTTACAAGTGATTAATAGTTATATTTGGAGAGGTTAGGGCATATTTAAAGAAATTTTCTAATCAATCTTTGGTTTTATTTAAAGTATCCAAATATAAAATTAAAATAATATATAAATACCTGTAGAAAATAAAAAAAAATAAATTCTGTTATCTAGTCCACTCTCGCGTATCCTTTAGCCATCCTTCCCCTGATCAATTTCGCTTCCACTTTGACTCAAATTTACTTCTTTCTTCTCATGCGCAGTTTATATGTACATACATATGTGCATATGTTTGTGTTTACATGCTTCTCTATTGGCCATTTCAATTCCTCTTTGGCCAACAAATTGGACAACTTAAAGAGCTCATTAAATTAACTACACGCATCTGCCCGACTTTCGGCCATTTTCACTTGCTCTACATATTTATTATTATCTTTTTTGTGACTCTCCCTCGCACGCTCTCTCTCTGTCGCTCTATCTGTGTGTGTTCCTCTTCTCAATTTCATTTTGTCAGTTTTTGTTGGTCCTCTCCTCATGCTGCTGACATGACATGAACTGTAGTTTATTTATTATTTCGCTCTACGCTCATTCCCATTCTCCTTGTACATTTTTCGGGCTTCTTTTCATTTTATTTATATCCTTGACGCATGCAAACATGGTGTGTGTGTGCATGTGTATGTGTGTGAATCAGGTCACACAACACACATGCTTAAACATTTGAATGTGCGTGTGTGTGTGCGCTGTGTTATGTAGTTTATTGTCAATTGTTTGTGGCATTTATTTCGCAATTGTTTTCCTCCATTTTGTCACTTTGTTTGCCTCTGCTCTGCCTTTTGTTCATTTATTTATTTATTTGATTAGTTTTTATTGCATGACCATTTTCCGTGCATGGTACGAGTATGATTAAAGGAGTTTCACTCTTTGTCCTCGGGCCAAATATGCAGATACTCCTCTTGCCCCTGCCCCTGCTCCTGCTCCTGTATCTCATTTTGGCAGGACTTTTGGCAGGCTGTAAATTGTTGGTTTTGTGGAAAAGTGCCCAAACTTCATGATACAATTATCAGATACATTGCTTTGCATCTAAACTTTGAGAATTTTCGCAATTTCTGACCCATTAACAGAAACCATAATTCGTTCTTCAGTTGACTATCGTTTAACCATTTCAAAGTCAATTTTCGCTCTCTCCCTCTATCTATCATGTGCCCTGCACAAACACAATAAAAGTCCTTCCACAGGATAACCCGTCCATTAACCCTCATCGACTGCAATGGGATTGGAGAGCGCACCCCATATGCCCATTCCATCGCCTCCCTTTGACTGCGGATAACCATATGTGTCCTCCCTGCGTTGCAACGGACTCAGACTGGGGCTCTGGCTCTGGCTCGGGCTCGGCCAGAATGTCAGGACATCCATCCATCCGATGTTATTTGGTCGCCCCACAGTCGATTGAATTGCAATGCGGCACGTGCAACATGAATGGACTCGCTGCAATCGTCCTATGCATATAAAAGGAGGCTGAAAGCTGTTGATGATTGGGCGTGGTGGCATGGCCTGCTATGGCAGCGCAGCCTCAACGCGTGGCTTCAACTCAATTATCAAACTTTGGGCCGCCGATCCGGGAGCCAACCTGGAGCCTGCCACTCTCCCACACACACACACATACACAGCCATACACAGACATAAGGATTGCCAGACAGACGGACAGAACGAACACGTGTTGGAAACAAACGGAAATGGATTTTTGATTGAGTGCACAATAAAATGTGCAATGCATTTTACAGGCGAAAACAAGAGAGAAATACGAATATGAAACATGCAAAAGAACAACTCCACTCCACCTCCATTCCCTCCCTCCCTCCCCCACTCCGTCCCTAAGTGGAGTTTAGTCGTATTTATTTTGTTCGACTCGTATCCAAAAAAAATCCACAAAAGAAAATTTTTAATTTTGGGGCAAAAAGTTGCAATTTATATGCCTCTATGCCTCCGCCCTTCCTCTTTGATCCATCATCATGAAAGTCAATTTATTTCATTATAAAGTGCATAGGACTGGGGGCCCGTCATCCGTCTCTCTTTCTTTCCATTTTATGGCGCATATTTGGCCAATTTATTGGCCTCATGGCTAACAAATTGCAAACACACAATGTGGATGGATGGAAAATTATTGCGTCGTTCGTTCGATTGGATGCAATGAAAAAGTTTTCCATCTTCCCCCCTTGTTCGGGGGTTTTTCTGCATTTATAATTGGAAATCTATAAAGGGCGGATCGTAAAAAATACACCGAGTCAAGGGTCAGACATATAAAAAAGAAGAGAAACAGAAACCGAAACAGTTAACGGAATTGAATGATGCCCTATCATAAAATAAGAGCATGGAGCTCAAGCTAATTGATTGACCGATGGATGACCCTCAGTAACAATCAAAAGAATGCGAATAGAAGAAGGTAAATAAATCAAATGAAAATTGCAGAGGCCACACAAGGATCAAGCCAGACCCAGTTTAATGGCAAAATCGATCAACCCGAACCGAATGTAGACCCAAGCCAAGAGACAAACTATCCCTAGATGTAAATATGCTGCCAAAAATCTTATATATTCGCCAAAAAAAGAAACGAAGACAGAGACAGATGCCTCTGGCAGTCGCTCAGTCATGGGGAATCACAAAAACGCTGCCAATTTTCGACTATTTCCCTATGGCCAAATTTGTGTATCCTGCTTCTGAAGGGGAGGCAGATCGATGTCTGGAGCGGGCCGGGCTTCGAGTCCTCGTGGTCTAGACGTTGTCTAATGACAAACGCAAACCACAAAAGATGACGACGACAGCGACAGCGACATTGAGGATTGTGGATTGAGGATTGAGGAAAATGTTATGCAAGTCGGTCGGAGCCAAGTCAAATGGAAAGGCTTTCGAGTCCTTGTCTGGCTGCGGACAAAATGTACCAGTAAGATAAATAAACTGAACTTTAAATGGCTGCCAATCGACCATCGACCCATCGATGACTGGTCTATGGCCTGCCCTGGCCCTGCTAATTCCCATTGACCAGCGACTCGAGGGGAGACAGGGAGACGAGACTTCAAGATGAGCAGCGGAGCATTGAAGCGAAAGAATCTTTCGATTCGATTCAAAATTCATCGAAAGCATGCAAAATAAATCGTACCGAAAGAGTGGCCACCTCCGCCACTCTCCTTTCCTCTTTGGCCCAACAAAAGGCACAATCAATGACGACATCGGTGTTTAAATTTTTCGAAGCAACAGACAATTTGCATAGTTAGAAGAGAAACAGAGGGAAAGAAGCGCCAGACTATTGAGATATTAATATGCAAATTTTTCGCATGGAGAACTTCTGCTCTCCGCATTGTTCCCATTTAAGTGAAATTTCTTGAGCGAAAAAGTTTTGCCTTCCCGGCCGGCTATAAAATAGAAATCCCATGCCAATGACGGTTTCAGTATTATTCCTAATCACGACCATGAAGTGCTCTTGGAGTCTCTACTGCTGCGGAGGTACGTTCTCTGATAAGGTGTTTGTTGTATATGATGGGGGATTGCATGGAAAGACGACTGTGGAAAATTGTGAACAGAAATCCTTAGCTGGAATTTGCTAGAAGTTTTGTGGGGAACAAGGTCGTCTTTTCTTTCGTTTTTAGCCAAACGGCAGCTCCTGAATTCTGCTGAAAGTGGTTCCCGAAATGTCTACAAATTCCAAGAATACCAAGAACAGAGCCCGTATCCCCTGCTGGGCTTGGGTTTGGGTTTGCGTTTGGCGAGGAACAGAACAACGCCACAAAAACCCAAAAAGGGATCTGATCTGCCCAAAAACGGCGCTAAGTTGACAGCCATAATTGAGGCTTAAGTCTGGTTCTGGTTCTGGCTCTGGCTCTGGTTTTGGAACAGCACCCGCCAGCCTCTGGATCTCTCTCTGTCTCTCTGGTGTCATAAAGCCATAAATAAGCCGCGGAAATTCCCAGACCCCGAATGAAAATTATGGAAAACTGCAAGTTTATGACAGGCACACGCGCGACCAGGCACTCGCTAATGATCCAAGCTACCTGAAGTACTGCCTTTAAAAGGAGCCCGTCCCAGATTCCTGGGCATCAAACGGACTTCGATCGTCGCAGCAGCAACATCCATCACCCAGCAACATGATTGACGAACAGAAACTGAAGAAGAGCTCGGAGAGTAAGCAGCGCTCAAGCAGCAGACCCCACAAGATGCACAAGTCCAAGGATCCATTGAGGAAAAAGAAGAAGGCACTGAAGAAGCTGCGCAAACGGGCGCCCAGCATCAACTTCTCCTATCAGCTGTTCCTGTACCGGCAGGAACTGAAGCGGGCCAGCGCGGACTTCTCCTACTTGCGGCTGTCCAGAGCCAAGATAATGCTGACCAATGAGCTGATAGCCAAGAAAATCGGCAGCAGCGGTCAGATGAGCAGCGTGGACGATCTCAAGATGCTCAGCCGGGAGTTGCAGTTCAAGAAGCGTCTCACCAGCCAGGTGGAGCGTCTGGCGGAGTTCAAGAACCTGGGCCTCACCGAGATGATACTCGATGGCAAGAAGACCACCCTATAGCCATAGCAGGGCAGATGTGGACACGGAGAGAGCGTTAGGCTGGGGCTGGGCATTACCTTAAGTTAGTTGTAATCTGTTAGGCTGTAATATTTTATCAAATAAAATATCGCAACGAAATATGTAATCCAGTTCTTTGCCATAACCTTACAGCCATGCTGCTCTGCTCGGCCAGTCTCTGCTGCGCCCAGAATGTCACCCACCTGGACGACAGCCAGGAGGCCCTCAAAGTGGAGGCGTTACTCCAGGCGTCATCCAGCACTTCGACCACTGCCCAGCCGCCAAGCAGCTCCACTGCTCCCCTGACCAAAGCCAAGGCCAAGCAGGCCCATGAAATTGAAGAGGATGATAATAACTTCTCGAACGATCGGCTGCCGCAGTTGACGGACGATGAGTACAGCAGCCTGGGGGAGGATGCCAATCCCTTGCATTTTCTTAAGCAGCAGCCGCCACAGCAGCAGCAGCAGGTATGAAATGGTCACCGATTCAGCTTAGGTAATCCTGAGGATTACGATCCTGAAGAACCCTTAAAGTATAGTATTTCCCAGTCTGATGTAGACCTCTGTGATGTTCACAATAGTGTGATATTATTGCCCTATTCTGAAGTTTCTACCTCTGTGACATGAGCATCCCTGTGATCTTCCTTTTAGCCCAAGCCTGAACCTGTGGTTATGGCCCCCCAATCGAGTGCCTCTTCCATTTACATTACCATCCCCATATACATCAATACGGCCGGCAAAGTGCCCCTCACTCTGACCATTGGCGACCAGCAGATGTCCCTCAATCCGCAGAGAAAGGCAGCCCCAGTGGCGGCAGCGAACAAGAAGAGTCCCCATACGAAGGCGCCCAATTCCCATTTCAATCGTTTGCTGCAACAAATCGAGACGAGTCCCAAGCGACGGACCACCAACCGGCATCGCAGTCAGCTGAAGAGCAATATCTATGCGGCAAAGGAGCGTCCGGATCGACACGCTTCCATCTACTAACATTCTGAGTTCCTGAACTGCGAGCATCTATTTTGGTGTATATTATGACATAACTTTAATGGTCTAACAATAAATAAATGACAATAAATAGCTGAGAAATATGTGTGGAACTTGAGTTGAAGGCAACGTCTAGACAGCATTGCTGAGGGGAGTCGCTGGCTCCTCCGAGGGCTTTGACAGGCTCTGGCTCGGGTGCTGCAGTCTCAACCTCCTTTTCGGGCTGCTGCTGCTGCGCGGACTCCGCCTCGGGCTGCTTGATCTCATCCGTGTTGGGTACAACTGTGGCCGGGGTCTCATCATCATCGTCGTAGTCATCGCCGATGACCTGCTCGATGGTCTGCTGGATAAAGTGCTCGAACTGCTGGAAGTACTGCAGCGCGTTGTTGGCCACCTGTGCGGTGGGCAGATCTGTGGTGACCTTCTTCAGGGCATCGCGGATGAGCACCAGCACTGGCTTGCGCGAGGGAGCCACTGGCACTGCGGTTGTCACAGCCTCGGGGTCCTTCTCCAGCTCTGAGGGGGTCTCGGTGGCCGCTTCAGAGGGCGTCTCCTGAGTGGTGGCCACATCGCGCCGTCTCCTGATTAGGGAGTCTTCGTCATCATCATCATCATCATCCTCTACATCCTCGTCATCGTCGTGCTCCTCACTACTATCCGCACTGGAGTTGTGAGCCTGCTCCTCCTCCTCGTCCGCCTGCCGCGATCCCGAATACTCGAGGCTCGTGTCGAAGTCCGACTCCGCCACCGGAGCTGGGGCTGCACTCGCCACACAGGCCAGGGCCAGCAGAGCAGCTGCTCAAAAGAGATTAAAATAAAATAATTAGCTGGGGTGTTCCAGTTCAGGAGGCAGCTTCAATTGCTCACCGAGGGTCAGGTAGATGGCTCGAACCATAATGCTAATCCTTTTGTTTCTTTTCCGTGGGCGAACAGTTGACTTTTGCAGTTTTGCGGTCTTTCTGAGCGAATCCAGCGCTTAGCTTTCGCTTTTTATAGCCCCACCAAAATGAAAGTAAATCAACAAGGCGCTCCAGCTTCATCGATCCATCCCATCCCATCCGATCCGCTCCGCTCTCAGCGAGACCCGAGTGTGGCTCTGGCGACTAACCAGAGCGTTGTCCAGTCGCTTTTACTGCAATCCGAAGCTCTCTTTCTCTGGTTTTGTTGTTCGTTTCATTTCATTTCATTTCTTTATTTTGTTTTCTTTTCGTTGAACTTCTTTTGTTTACCCTACTGACACACACACACACGCACCAAAGAAACCGAAATCATTTATTTAAATTTTTGTGTGTGTGTGTGTTTCTGGTTACTTCTTTCATAAATTTCGGGCATCTGGGCATCCGACAGACAGCCTGTTTGCCTTAGAAATTAACACTGCCCGACTGAGACGTACGCGACGTCGGTTGCTGATATGCAAAACTGCTTACAAGATCACTTAGTTGCCCCTTTTTGGGTGTTCGTTGCTCGGTCATTGCTGGCCCTTAATTATGTAATTAGACATGCTTGGAGCCCAGCTCGGCTTCGATCGGTTCGCCCTCGCCCCCAACTGGCCAGCTGGCCAACTGGCAATGCATCACACAGATCTCAACTTTCTAATGCTAATGGGAAATTTTGAAAATATTTCCATTCAAAATCAAATAATCAACAAGAAAGCAAAGAGCGGGTGGATGAAAAAAGCCACCGCCGATCAGCGCTCACGATCACGAGGTTGGATGAGTCAGGGCATGATAAGTGCAATTATGTTTGCTTTGAGGTTGTCCCCGTATGATCCTCCAGCTGGAAAACAAGTTCAAGCTTCACTCTAATTAAAACTGCAATTACCTGCGATAGAAGAGCGATCAGAGATCAAGAGATCAGGTAACCAACAATAAACAATGGCAGAGCTTGATTGGATGCGAGGGGATTTCCTGCAAGCAAAATGCAGCTGCCCGCTGTCGCTGCCGGCAGTCTCTAGACTCAAACCCAAAGAACTCTCCCCACATACACAGCGAAGGTAAAATAAATATAAACATAAAAAAAAAAAAAAAGATCACCGAACCTTTCCAGATTGACCCAATTTTGAAGAACCGGCTCAAGAGGTAGCGAAGACACCGAGCTGATCCGCTGTGCTGGAGGCTGGGCGGCTTGGGCGGCTGGGGCTGGGCGTTCGAATGGAGGGCAAGTGTAAGGTGTTAAGCACACAACCAGTTCCAGGTCCAAGCGAGAGCATTCTAGATGATTATCAGGCCAGTCCAGGCCCCGTGTGTTTGTGTGCGCAAAGGGTAAGCTGATAAATGACAACCAAATGAGCTTGCATAAAATTTCACCAACAAAAAAAAAAAACAAAAACAAAATACAATACAACTTTTCGTACTTTCGTTCGTGGCTGGGGGGATATCTCGGAACTGTGCGAAGTGTAAACAACAGGCAGAGCAGATGAAAAGATTTACCAAGAAAACCGGTAGATGGCCAGAAGAATTCCCCCCAGAGTGCGCAACGCCTGTACTTAAGCGGCCATTCGCCAGAAGATGCGATCAGTTGTTACAGCGACGACCAGCGGAGCAGATCGAGACCAAGTGCAAAATAAGATGAGACCATATCAGGCTGTTGTCGTTCTAGGTAAGTGCCCCCAGCCAACACCCCTCCAGAACTGGCTCGGCTCCTTTTGGCTCTCTGTAGCAGGTGCATCCAACCCACTTCCTTTCTTTTACTCGTTTTTCAGTGGCTGCTCTGCTGCTTCTGGAGGCGGCTCCCATCGAGGCGAAGCGGCGCAAGCACAAGGGCTCTGACCACCACCACCACGACAAATCAGACTCCCAGAAGACCAAGACCAAGACTAAGTGGTCCAGCTCCACGGACCTGGCCGGCAACACTCAGGTATCCACCGAGGAGCATGGCTACTACGTGAAGCGCACCTACGCCCCTCAGGCGGACGCTCAGAGCAGCAGACGGATGAGTCCCCCCTTCCTGGCCATACCCATTGCCTGGTTCAGCTGCGAGCAGGGTCAGAAGGATTGCCAGGCCACCAATTCGGCTGCGATCAACAGCGCTGCCCAATCCCTCAATGAGGGATACCTCTGCGACGACGACTGTGCGGATCTCTACGAGCCCGTGTGCGGCAGGACCCCCAATGAGGTGGCCGTCTTCTATAACCAGTGCAAGCTGAATGTGGCCAAGTGCCGCTCCCACGGCCTCTGGTCCGAGCTGGCCTATGCCGAGTGCCAGCAAACGTATCCCAAGGAAACTGCCTGTGCCGACAAGAAGTTCAGAAGTTCCCCCTACTTCCGTGACAGTGCCACCGTCGAGAAAATGAACCAAGAAATGCAGAAGGAGAAGGAGCAGGACGAAAAGAAGAAGCAGGAGAAGGACAGCAGTGCGAGCAGCGAAGAGAACGAGGACAAGCAGCCCAATCAGACGCCCATTGATCTTCCCTTGCCCCAGAAACCAATTGGAGACGAGTCATCATCGCCTTCTGTGCCTGTCCCAGTGGCCGTATCCACCCCCGTGAAGACTCCCGAGGAGATTGCCCTGCCTCCCATGCCCATGAAGGCCACTCAATCCCCAAAACCCTTGGTGATCGCCATGGCTGAGGCTGTTCCTGTGACAGAGCAGAGCCAACCCAAGGCCGACAACGATAGACTCAAGTATACGGTAGCCTAAATTAGGAATCCCATTTATAAAATTAATATTTATTTTAATTTAAACAAATAAAACACTTTGAGAAAAATACTTAGAGCAGCTTCGATTTTACAAATTAAACAAAGGTCAGAAAGGGAATGAAGTCATCTGCATGAATCGATCATTTTGTTTACTATATTTTATATACACCAAAATAAGGAACTGCTCAAAGGAACTTCATTCTCTTTTTGTATGCCTTCTGTAAGAGTATAACAAACGATAGAATATTTAGTTACTCGGATTTGATGGCTTACTGATTGATTGATCTTGAATTTTTTAGGCACAATGGCTTCCCAAAATAATTAATAAAATTCAATTAAAGAAAGAGAAGAGAGAAAAGAGAATTTATTCTTTTTCAGAACAATTTCCATTGTACAACAGCTATAATTTATATTTAATTTTTACGCAGACAAAGCCCCTGCCCAAGACTTGATTCGTTTTATGTGGATGCAGCTTTGGTTAAGTCAGCGTGCATTTCTCGACAAGTGCATTGACCCTGCAAACAAGTTCTATAAACTGATTGACCGTCAAAGATATCAGTAGCTGAATAGGGCCATCATTAGAAGTCTAACACTAAACCTAATTGGGAGTGGAGTGGAGGCCGTGGGATGGACAATGGTTGCCCCAAGCCTCCACGCGACGGCAGCTATAAAAGCTGCGAGGGATTCTCCAGCAGGGCACAGAAGTCATTCGACTGCAATGGAAGGCAGAAGAGTCAGAATGTGTAGCACAAAACTGCAGCTACTGATCCTGCTAAGCGGAGGTAAGTCGCAGGTCGAAGAACAAAGAGATCGATCCTTTAATGCACACTCTTCCTCAGCCCTGCTATGTGCTCGAGCTGCACCAACTGGAGACCAGGCGGAGGAAGTCACAGTAACCCATCCACCGCCTGAGCAACTCCAATTGGAGTCGCGATCGCAAAAGGAGGACGTTTTGGATCTGGACGAGGACTTGGATGGAAGGAGTGCCTATGTCAACAATCAGTTTGTGCCCAGCGAGCCCGTGGAGCTGGTGGATGATGAGCAGAATGCGCCGCTCTATGAGATACTTCAGAAGCAAATGGAGCAAGTGCTGGCCTCCACAGGACCCAACGACCCCGTCTACGAGCATAGGGACAAGCAGGATAGACGAGATCAGCAGCCACCGAATCGACCACCACCACTCTTCACCAGCAACCATCCGAACGATGCCGAAGTGGACGATGACTACGAAGACGAGGAGGATCGAACGGACTTGGGCTATAACAACGAGCAAGAGAAGCCAGATGCAGCCTCCCTGCTCGAGGAAGACGAGCAGACCGAGGCGGGCTATCAGGTGCCACAGCTGCAGCCATCAACCACTAGTCCCAGCACCACCCGCAGACCCCACAAACGCCGCAGCACTACAGCGCAGCCGCGCACCACTCGAGCACGAACCTCAGCGCAGCCCAGGGCCACACCAAAACCAGCGAACCTGACCACCACATACAGCTCCACTGAGACACCGCTGACAACCACAAGTCAGAAGCCCAAGGCCAGTCCCAGTCCCAGTACCAGTTCCAGGCCACTGCCGAATCCATCCAACAGCCTGCCCAGCGATCCTCAGGTCTACCAGCACAAGCGGCGCATCATTTTCAAAACCATCTCGACGGGCTCGCAGTTCGTCAACTCCCCGATTGGCGATCTTATGATTAAGTTCTCCATCGGCTTCGCCCGGCCAGCCCATGGCGGAGCAGCAGTTCCGTCCAGCGAGGCGCTGCGTGCCCTTTCGAATAATTTATTGCGAAACATTGAACTGCAGAAGCTGAAGAGGGCCAATAAAGTACAGAGAGATTAATCAAAGTTACGTATAGCGGAGCAACATTTATTAGATTAGAGGTCTTAGTGTTAGTTAAGCTTAGACGGATAGTCGCAGGGGGATGGGATGCCACAAGATCAACAAAACAAGTTATCAAGTGAACAGGAACATCATTGGCTTCGTAGGGGTCGCTGGGTGCTCCCGCTGCGGCTATCCTTATCGTTGTTCTTTCTTTTTTTCGAGTCCATCGTTTCGATCGGTGCAAGTCTTGTTAGAGTTAGTCGCTAAGCGGTTCGGAAGCTTTACAAAAATATATATATGTGTGGGCTGCTCCTCCTTCAGCGCACAGGCCAGAACTTTAGAGCGAGAACGGGTATGGTGACGCCCGTGATGATGCTGGAGATGAGATTGACACTGTGGTTGTCCAGAATACGCAGGCCACTCACATGACGCACACCCTTGCCGGGTGCATCCACAATCTGTCCTTGCTCATTGATGCCCGAGAACTGCAGCACGCCGCCCATGAAGGAGTCCAGCAGCGAACCAAAGAGTCCGGCAATGCCGCCAAATAAGATTATTGGCCACTGCGGTGGACTCACCAGCAGCATTTTGGCATCCACCGTGTAGCGTATGGTGACAAAGTAGCCAAAGCCCACAAGGAAGCCGCCCAGCAGACTGACCACGACTCCGATCAGAGAGATTCCTCCATTGGTGCCGCGCGGCACGCGCCGCCAGCTGATGATGGAGATGGGATCGCGCTGGGAGAGCACGCTGCCCAGCTCACTGGACCAGGTGTCGCCGTTGCAGCAGGCGAAGGCGCTCATCACGGCAATGCCCAGCCAGCTGGAGCGGTACTCCTTGGAAAAATCAATGGCCCGCTCGCCGCTGCCGCAGTCGATGAGGTAGAGCAGTGCCAGTTGGGCGGCCATTCCACCGTTGCACAGGACCTGGACCCAGTTCCTCTGTCCTTCGCCCTCCTTGAAGTCGTGCTCGAAGCGGCGTTTCATGTGCGCCCGGAACTTGGTGGCCCGCGACGAGCTGAAGAAGAAGACCACCAGGCTGGCGAAGAACGGATGGCTGGCTATGGACAGTATGAATGCCACCACAATGCCCAGGGCGGCACCAGATCTGCTCACCGAGCGTCGACGCAGCGCCACCGTCATCAGTGTGAGGGGAGCCAGCGTGGAAAAGAGCCAACGCATAGGCGGTATCACCCGGGGCTCTGTCAATCAATCAATAAGATAACCTTGTGCATCCTTAAGTATTCATTCATTTACATACCTTCGTAGGCATTGTTGCTCCAGATCTTCGAGAGGGCCACGTTGCCCAGCCACATGAATAGGGAAATGGGTATGGCCAGGCCACAGAACAAGACCGGCATCCAGTTGCGCATCGTTTTTGATTTTTACATACAGTTTATACAGTTTAAATCGTTCAAATCGTCGGCACTTTATGTATTTATATTTGTTTTGTTTTTTTTGGAATACCGATTAGCGATGGCTCCGGGTTTTTTTTTTGCCACGACGACGACCTGTTATCGATGCACGACCTTCTCTATGAAACCTGTTAACTGCACATTTATGTTAACAGCGTGCTGTTGGGCGCACCGTTTGAATTCAAATAATTTCATGCTTACGTATAAATCGTGGTTGATGCTTTATAATAAACCAACAGGTATTTAGGACAAGTAGAACCCCTCTAATCGTTTCACACGCTTATCAAGCTCCTTAACCAGACTCGTTATTTCATCCAGCTGGGCAGAGCAGGAGCAGCCCGACGCCGAATCAAAGGAAACATCCAATACCTGCGGAAAGTTCGTCTGGTTATGGCTTTAATTACGAATGGTATGTGAGAGTAAAGCTAGTGAACTAATGGTAGAAGGGTGGACTGGGGCTGCAAGGCTTGAAGTCCAACTCCTTGGCCACCAGCTTGCTGCGTGACGGCTGACCACCCGAAGTCGTAGCCGAAGAAGATTTGCTGGCACTTGTTGGTGTCTGGGGTAGCTTTGTGTGTTCACTGTCAAGCACCTGGAAATTTTCATCCGAGCTCTGATAGGCCTGCGACTGGCGCATATCGATGCGAATACTGCGGTCGTTCGACTGGGCTGTGCTGTTGGCGTTGCTCTGCTGGTAAGAGGAGGCTGCACTCGTGTCGCAACTGGTGGAGACGAGGGCCGACGACTTGGCCTCGAACTTGGAGGCATCGTAAGTGTGCAGATTAGACTGCCACACTAGCAGCTAAAATCGATAATGAAGGACTTAGAGAAACAACCATTGGAGGAGCTGCCACAACTCACCTGACGATCGTTGCCGCCAGTGGCAAACTTTTGCCCATCCTGGGAAAAGCCCACAGCGTTTACGGCATTCGTGTGGCCTGTCAGGGTGTAGATGGGTCTGCCCTCCAGCAGGTCCAGAATGCGTATGGTGCAGTCATCACTTCCGGACAGCAAAAAGTGTCCACTGGGATGGAACGCCACATCGTTGACGGGCGCCGAGTGGACCACGTACAGCTGCAGCAGCTGGCTGGCGGCTACGTCGAAGATTTTGATGCGGTTGCAGCCCAGGGCCACGGCCACCATGTTGCCCCACGGATGCCATGCCACCTGCCGTGGGGCGGCCCGCTCCTCGGTGAACGTGCGCACGCACTCTCCCGTGTTGACGTCGTAGATGCGCAGCGATTTGTCGTCGCAGACGGTGGCAATCATCTTGCCGTTGGGACTGAATTTGGCGGCGCGCACCCAATTGGTCTGCTGGGTGAACGAGGAAATGAACTGGCGCTTGGCCACGCGCCACATCTTCACGGACTTGTCGTCGGAGGCCGTCAGCATCATGTGGCCAGTCGGGTCAAAGTCAATGCTGCGCACTGGCTTGCTGTGAGCCACAAACTCCCCGGACACGCCACGCACCTTCGGCTCCCAGATCTTCACCGTGCGATCGTGGCCGGCGGAGGCCACCAGATTGCCCTTTGGCGACCACGACACTCCATACACCGGCGCCGAATGCGATCCGAAGCGAATGCAGCGGGCAGCCTGATTCAGATTCCACAAAATTACAGAGGCGTCCAGCGAAGACGTTGCGATCTGTGAGCCTTCGGGGCTGAAGCGCAGCTGGGTGATGCTGCCCGAGTGGCCAGTGAAGTGGCGGTCGAGAGCCGGATCGCTGAACATGTTTTCTTTCCTTTTTTTGTATTTTTTTCTTAGTTAATTCAACAAATTTTTAAAAATTGTTAGCGCTTTATTTGAAAGAAAATGCGTCGCGTCCGTCAGAAATATACTGTAATGTACCAACATTTGTATTAAATACATTATATACCGAACGACCTTAACCCACTTAATCCCTCTTTATTTAAACAAGTGAACAGCTTGAGTTAAACCAGTATATAGATGTGCCAGTTCATACAACGTTATAAATTTAATGTTTGTTTAATTAATTTGTATGTTTTTCAGTGGCTATTATATTTTTGTCCTATTATTTGGAGTTTTGTTTTTTTCAACACATTTTTCTGTTAGCAATGGGGGGGCCCTCGGCAACTGCTAATCCTCGAAGGACTTTTCCAGAATTGTTAGGATCCAAACTGTCCATCGGCTAAAGTTTTCCCCCGATCACATGAAGGCATGATCCGCCCTGATCAAATGAAAAATGGCGAAGGAATAAAGGATTAATAACGATTCCTGGACAATATTCTTATTGTCCTTGACGTCAAACGATGGGGGACTTTCTCCCGGAAATGGCAGAGTTATACGCATTTAAAATAATGCTAAACGAGAAAAAGCGGAGTTATAGGGATTTAATGGCAATTTCCTTATTGTCCTTAAAGCGAAACGATGGGGGACATCCTGCTGATTACGAGGATACTTATCACATTCAGATCGGATGAAAAGTGACAGAGAAAAGTAATTATTTAAGACTGGGGGAAATATCCTTAATCCTTGGTCCTTTTTAGGACTTCAAAAAATCGAGGATTTTCTTCCGATCACGAGGACACGTACCACGTCCTGATCGGTCGATAAATAACGGAGTTAAGGCGATTGAAATAACGCTAAAATTATTTACACAACAACAGCACATTTGAATTTGGCGCTCAATTTCAAAAAGTTAGTTCAAGCATTGGCCGTCGGTTATCAGTGGGGCGCCACTGTGCGTACAAAATTTAATTTTTGCACAGTGGCACCCCCGTTATCACCGACGGCCACTGCTGGAACTAAAGTGTGGTAGTTCCAGATTTCGCCATTCAAGAATGGGGGCGCCACTGTGCAACAACAACATTTTTAATTTGCACAGTGGCGCCCCCATTTATGGACGGCGATTTCTGGAACTACAATTCTTTAGTTCCATCCGTGGCCGTCGGTCATAATGGGGGCGCCACTGTGCAACAACAAAATTTTTATTTGCACTGTGGCGCCCCCATTAATGAATGGCGAAATCTGGAACTACAATACTTTAGTTCCAGCAGTGGCCGTCGGTAATCATGGGGGTGCCACTGTGCAAAATTTAAATTTTGTACGCACAGTGGCGGCCCACTGATAACCGACGGCCAATGCTTGAACTAACTTTTTGAAATTGAGCGCCAAATTCAAATGTGCTGTTGTTGTGTAAATAATTTTAGCGTTATTTCAATCGCCTTAACTCCGTTATTTATCGACCGATCAGGACGTGGTACGTGTCCTCGTAATCGGAAGAAAATCCCACTAAAAGGCCAAGACAAGGATCTCCCAGTCTTAAATAATTACTTTTCTCTGTCATTTTTCATCCGATCTGAATGTGATAAGTATCCTCGTAATCAGTAGGATGTCCCCCATCGTTTCGCTTTAAGGACAATAAGGAAATTGCCATTAAATCCCTATAACTCCGCTGTTTCCCGTCCAATCAGGGCGTGCGGCGCCTACCCGTGATCGGGAAAATATCAACAATTTCTTAGATTCCTTTTCAAGGACTTTTCAAGTCTATTCATTGTGCAGCCCGATCTGTGCATTCCATGGCTTTTAGATCCTTAATAAAGTCCTTAACAAATATTCTTGACCTCCCGCCCACTCCAATTAAAGCACACATATAAATTGTATTTTTTTATTTTTTAAAAAACTATACAATATATATTTGATGTACATATGTATATATGTAGCTTTATATAATATTCCGTCCATCTTACTGCTAAAGCAATACAAAAACACTATACAATGGTATTACTAACTGGCATACTTATATAAGTAACAGCGTATTATGTACAAACGTTGATTTCCGCTTATTAATAATGCCTTACGATTTGTCCTTTTGTCAATTAAATCTCTACAAAATGATGCACATTTTATGCACATTAGAACTAAATATTACAGAATTTTGAGTTTATTCAACAAAAGTCTTAAGGCAATTACTTCCTAGAAATGTACTGCATACTGTCTACCTTATACATATGATATATTCACACATTTGTGAGTGTGTTTGTGTGGTGTGGCACCCAAATGAATCATTAGCTTAGCGAATACCAGAGTCCATACGCAGATGAGCAATTATTTGTATTCAATCTCTCAGTCTCTCCCCATCTATAATGATGTCACCCTTGGCTGGTAGGGATAATCTACAAAAGGAAAAGATGGGATGTTAAGTGAATGCCAGATGGAAGTTGTTCGTGTTTTGCGCACCTGAAGATTTCTGATCTCCCTTTTCATTGAAATTGTAGACACGTGCAATAATGACACTCAAATTGGTCCTACTGGATTTCCTGTTCGAAGAAGAAAGATGTTACACATAAAATAGATTATACTTGGCAGTCGATAGAGATCGCAACTTACACATTGATGGCCTACCAGCACACGCGTATGCCCCGTCGCACAAGATGGTGAGGTGAGGGAAGAAGGAGGTGCCACTGGGTGTGGCGCGTGGAGCCCTGGTATATACCAATTCCATGCATATATACATATATAGAAATATATACGTTTGTACCAAATTTGATCGAAATAAAAAGTTCTCTGAAAAATATAAATTTATTGACAGAGGTGCAAAGTCGAAAGACGAAGGCATTTGCACAATATGTAATTTAAAAAAAAAAACCTGTCTAAAATAGGGATATGTATATGTAAATGTGCAATTTCAATTAAATCAAATAATTAATATATTTTATTTTTATATATTGTATTTATTTCCCACCCCCACCCACTCTGCCCTTTCCACATTTATGCTGCGGCATGTCAGCTCAGGTCGCTTCATCAGCCCTCAAAAAAAAACGAAAAACCAATTCAAACCGGCCAAAAATTTTAGAACCCACACAAGCACAGAATGTGAGAACACATGGCACACACACATTTACGTAAACTGAAATCTGAAGCAAAGTCGGTTTCGGCAGCTACAAATTATTCTATGTATACAATCATATGTATATTTTGGAGTGTTACACGTACACAACACATACATGCTTGCTGTCTGTCGGCTCGTGTCACGTCATGAGCCGAACGCGGTCATTCCCAGAGCCAAGGACCTGGGAACGTACGCTGCAAACTCAGCTGCGCCCCTTTCGTTGTATGAACTGGCAAATCTATATACTGTATAGTTAGTGGTTAAACCACTAAACCACTCAAATGGCACAAAACCGTTAAATTCAAATCTGATACCAGGCGAACAGAAATCAGCAGAAGGTCGCTGGTTTTTTAATTTCTCGTTTTTTCTTGTTTCTCTTTGTATTTCGTTGCTCTCTCTTTTCGCTCATCTTTTAATCATTTTCTGCCTCCACTTCCCACCGCTCAAATGGCAGAAAACGGTTAAATTCAAATCTGAGATACCAGGCGCACAGAAGTCAGCAGAAGGTCGCTGCTTTTTTTAAATTCTCGTTTTTTCTTGTTTCTCTTTGTATTTCGTTGCTCTCTCTTTTCGTTGTTCTTTTTCTCATTTTCTGCATTCACTTTCCACCGCCCAAATGGCAGAAAACCGTTAAATTCAAATCTGAGATACCAGGCGCACAGAAATCAGCAGAAGGTCGCTGCTTTTTTTAAATTCTCGTTTTTTCTTGTTTCTCTTTGTATTTCGTTGCTCTCTCTTTTCGCTCTTCTTTTTCTCATTTTCTGCTTCCACTTTCCACCGCTCAAATGGCAGAAAACCGTTAAATTCAAATCTGAGATACCAGGCGCACAGAAGTCAGCAGAAGGTGGCTGCTTTTTTTAAATTCTCTTTTTTTCTTGTTTCTCTTTGTATTTCGTTGCTCTCTCTTTTCGCTGTTCTTTTTCTCATTTTCTGCTTCCACTTTCCACCGCCCAAATGGCAGAAAACCGTTAAATTCAAATCTGAGATACCAGGCGCACAGAAGTCAGCAGAAGGTCGCAGCTTTTTTAAATTCTCGTTTTTTCTTGTTTCTCTTTTTATTTCGTTGCTCTCTCTTTTCGCTCTTGTTTTTCTCATTTTCTGCTTCCACTTTCCACCGCTCAAATGGCAGAAAACAGTTATATTCAAATCTGAGATACCAGGCGCACAGAAATCAGCAGAAGGTCGCTGCTTTTTTTAAATTCTCGTTTTTTCTTGTTTCTCTTTGTATTTCGTTGCTCTCTCTTTTCGCTGTTCTTTTTCTCATTTTCTGCTTTCACTTTCCACCGCCCAAATGGCAGAAAACCGTTAAATTCAAATCTGAGATACCAGGCGCACAGAAATCAGCAGAAGGTCGCTGCTTTTTTTAAATTCTCGTTTTTTCTTGTTTCTCTTTGTATTTCGTTGCTCTCTCTTTTCGCTGTTCTTTTTCTCATTTTCTGCTTTCACTTTCCACCGCTAAAATGGCAGAAAACAGTTATTTTCAAATCTGAGATACCAGGCGCACAGAAGTCAGCAGAAGGTCGCTGCTTTTTTTTTATTCTCGTTTTTTCTTGTTTCTCTTTGTATTTCGTTGCTCTCTCTTTTCGCTCTTCTTTTTCTCATTTTCTGCTTCCACTTTCCACCGCTCAAATGGCAGAAAACGGTTAAATTCAAATCTGAGATACCAGGCGCACAGAAGTCAGCAGAAGGTCGCTGCTTTTTTTAAATTCTCGTTTTTTCTTGTTTCTCTTTGTATTTCGTTGCTCTCTCTTTTCGCTGTTCTTTTTCTCATTTTCTGCTTTCACTTTCCACCGCCCAAATGGCAGAAAACCGTTAAATTCAAATCTGAGATACCAGGCGCACAGAAGTCAGCAGAAGGTCGCTGCTTTTTTTAAATTCTCGTTTTTTCTTGTTTCTCTTTGTATTTCGTTGCTCTCTCTTTTCGCTGTTCTTTTTCTCATTTTCTGCTTTCACTTTCCACCGCCCAAATGGCAGAAAACCGTTAAATTCAAATCTGAGATACCAGGCGCACAGAAGTCAGCAGAAGGTCGCTGCTTTTTTTTAAATTCTTTTTTTTCGTTTCTCTTTTTGTCTCTCTTTTCGCTGTTCTTTTCTCATTTTCTTCTTCCACTTTCCACCAAATGGCAGAAAACCATTAAATTCAAATCTGAGAACCAGGCGCACAGAAATCAGCAGAAGGTCGCTGCTTTTATTAAATTCTCTTTTTTCTTGTTTCTCTTTGTATTTCGTTGCTCTCTCTTTTCGCTTTTCTTTTTCTCATTTCGCTAACTTGAACAGAAATGGAAGAAAAAGCGAAAAAATGAAATACAAAGGACAGAAAAACAGAAAAAAGTCGCCCTTTTTTAAATTCTCTTCTTGTCCCTTGTATTTCGTTTCTCTCTTTTCGCTGTTCTTTCTCAATTTCTGCTTGATGCAGCCGAAATGGAAGAACCGAAAAAAAACGAAAACAAAAACAGAAACAGCAGAAGTCCCCTTTTTATCCTTTGCTCTCTTTATTTCGTTGCTCTCTCTTTTCGCTGTTCTTTTTCTCATTTTCTGCTTCCATTCGAGCGGTGGAAAGTGGAAGCAGAAAATGAGAAAAAGAAGAGCGAAGGAGAGAGCAACGCAAAGAAATAAGCAGAAGAACGGTTTAAAAAGCAGCGACCTTCTGCTGACTTCTGTGCGCCTGGTATCTCAGATTTGAATTTAACCGTTTTCTGCCATTTGAGCGGTGGAGAGTGGAAGCAGAAAATGAGAAAAAGAACAGCGAAAAGAGAGCAACGAAATACAAAGAGAAACAAGAAAAAACGAGAATTTAAAAAAAGCAGCGACCTTCTGCTGACTTCTGTGCGCCTGGTATCTCAGATTTGAATTTAACCGTTTTCTGCCATTTGAGCGGTGGAAAGTGGAAGCAGAAAATGAGAAAAAGAAGAGCGAAGAGAGAGAGCAACGAAATAAAAAGAGACAAGAAAAAACGAGAATTTAAAAAAAGCAGCGACCTTCTGCTGACTTCTGTGCGCCTGGTATCTCAGATTTGAATTTAACCGTTTTCTGCCATTTGAGCGGTGGAAAGTGGAAGCAGAAAATGAGAAAAAGAACAGCGAAAAGAGAGAGCAACGAAATACAAAGAGAAACAAGAAAAAACGAGAATTTAAAAAAAGCAGCGACCTTCTGCTGACTTCTGTGCGCCTGGTATCTCCGATTTGAATTTAACCGTTTTCTGCCATTTGAGCGGTGGAAAGTGGAAGCAGAAAATGAGAAAAAGAAGAGCGAAGAGAGAAAGCAACGAAATACAAAGAAAAACAAGAAAAAACGAGAATTTAAAAAAAGCAGCGACCTTCTGCTGACTTCTGTGCGCCTGGTATCTCAGATTTGAATTTAACGGTTTTCTGCCATTTGAGCGGTGGAAAATGGAAGCAGAAAATAAGAAAAAGAAGAGCGAAAAGAGAGAGCAATGAAATACAAAGAGAAACAGGAAAAAACGAGAATTTAAAAAAAGCAGCGACCTTCTGCTGACTTCTGTGCGCCTGGTATCTCAGATTTGAATTTAACCGTTTTCTGCCATTTGAGCGGTGGAAAGTGGAAGCAGAAAATGAGAAAAAGAACAGCGAAAAGAGAGAGCAACGAAATACAAAGAGAAACAAGAAAAAACGAGAATTTAAAAAAAGCAGCGACCTTCTGTTGACTTCTGTGCGCCTGGTATCTCAGATTTGAATTTAACCGTTTTCTGCCATTTGAGCGGTGGAAAGTGGAAGCAGAAAATGAGAAAAAGAAGAGCGAAAAGAGAGAGCAACGAAATACAAAGAGAAACAAGAAAAAACGAGAATTTAAAAAAAGCAGCGACCTTCTGCTGACTTCTGTGCGCCTGGTATCTCAGATTTGAATTTAACCGTTTTCTGCCATTTTAGCGGTGGAAAGTGGAAGCAGAAAATGAGAAAAAGAAGAGCGAAGAGAGAGAGCAACGAAATACAAAGAGACAAGAAAAAACGAGAATTTAAAAAAAGCAGCGACCTTCTGCTGACTTCTGTGCGCCTGGTATCTCAGATTTGAATTTAACCGTTTTCTGCCATTTGAGCGGTGGAAAGTGGAAGCAGAAAATGAGAAAAAGAACAGCGAAAAGAGAGAGCAACGAAATACAAAGAGAAACAAGAAAAAACGAGAATTTAAAAAAAGCAGCGACCTTCTGCTGACTTCTGTGCGCCTGGTATCTCCGATTTGAATTTAACCGTTTTCTGCCATTTGAGCGGTGGAAAGTGGAAGCAGAAAATGAGAAAAAGAAGAGCGAAGAGAGAAAGCAACGAAATACAAAGAAAAACAAGAAAAAACGAGAATTTAAAAAAAGCAGCGACCTTCTGCTGACTTCTGTGCGCCTGGTATCTCAGATTTGAATTTAACGGTTTTCTGCCATTTGAGCGGTGGAAAATGGAAGCAGAAAATAAGAAAAAGAAGAGCGAAAAGAGAGAGCAATGAAATACAAAGAGAAACAGGAAAAAACGAGAATTTAAAAAAAGCAGCGACCTTCTGCTGACTTCTGTGCGCCTGGTATCTCAGATTTGA